AGATGGCATCATGGGTAGAGCTTCAAGGCTTTGGGTTAGATAGTGTATTTTGCATTAGAAAAGTAGAACTTGGGTTCCTTGTGTGGTAGCTCTCATACCAAACTTTTTTTGATGGTTTCCAATAAAAATCAGGATAGGTTACAGAATTACTGCAAGCCTTCTCAAGGTCATTTTTGGCCAAAATGTAGGTCTCCCAAAGTGTTATATGGGAAGCATAGTGAGGCATGTCTTGCCTATTTTGACCCAGCTCAGCTGTGGTAGATAAGGCCCACAATGCCAAACATAGATGAGCTTTTTCTGAAGTCCAGAAACACTGCTTAGATGTCTCCAGTCATCATAGACAATGAAAGCCAACTAGCTGAGCATGAAATACCTCTGAGGAATTAAAAACAAAACAAAACAAAACAAAAAAAAACCCTCTATTATTGCCTGTGCATTGCTTAATGTAGGAATCTCCTACATTAGGCAGCCAGAACTGCAGGACAGCACTTGGTCAGAGAAACTTGGAGACAAGAACTGACAGCTTTCGGGGCTGGGGTTGTGGCTTAGTGGTAGGGCACTCACTTAGCATGGGTGAGGCACTGGGTTGGATCCTCAGCCTCACATAAAAGTAAATAAAGTCATTGTGTTCATCTATAACTAAAAAAAAAAAAATTAAAAAAAGAACTGACAGCTTTTGACCTGTCCTTAAGAGAATTCCTGCCAGGCATGGTGGCACATGCTTGTAACCCTAGCGGCTTGCAGACTGGAAGATCAAAAGTTCAAAGCCAACCTCAGCAACTTAGTGAGACCCTAAGTAATTCAGCAAGACCCAGTCTCTAAATAAAATAATAAAAAAGGCTGGGGATGTGGCTCAGTAGTTAAGCACCACTGGGTTCAATCTCCAGTACCAAAAATAATTCCTGCTCAAAAACCCTGGGCCTTGTTCTTTTTCAACATTCTTTTTCAACGTGTGAGTAAGGCATCCAAGCTCTCCAAGACTCAAGTTGTCTGCAAATCCATCCCTGGTGTTCTTCCCATTATTAGCCAGACTCAGAAAGAAAAACCTCAAAAAATTCTACAAGGGCATGCAGTACAAGCCCCTGGACCTGTGGCCCAAGAAGATGTGAGCTACATGCCACTGAATCAACAAGCACAAGGAAGATTTGAGATCCAAGAAGCAGCAGCAGAAAGAACAGCTGTATCCTCTACAAAACTAGGCAGTAAAGGCCTGAGTGCCATGCTGCAATAAAACACAAAACTGGCAAAAAAAAAAAAAAAAGCAAATCCATGGACCTCTAAGGCTTTGATGGCCCAATAGGCTATATCCAGCCGCAATGCCATGCATATAGGCCCAGACTGCCTTGACCTCCTCAGATAGGAATTGGGGGAATAAAGAGAAAGACACCGAGTTTCAAAGGAAATTCCCATAAACCATGGAAATGCAGAAAGCACACAAACAAACAATTGCAACTCCTGAGGGACATGCCCTTGGCTCAGGCCTTTGACCCATGTCCTTAATAAATATTAACATCCACATCAATGGGTTGCTGTCTCTTTTGAGATTGCCCCCAATCTCCCTTGAATATATATCCACTTTCCTAAATAAACAACTGTCTGTATAAGCCTTTAGTGAGTAATGAAAATTTTTTCTATCATATGCCAAGAATCCTTTGGTCCTGAGTTGAGTTCTCCCTTTTCTCCAGGAATTTCTCAGACACTTCTTCAAAGATATCTCTTCTTCCAAGACACTGTCTGTCAAATTTCCAAATATAGGGGTGACTTTGATGTCAGAAGGTCACGTTAGGCTCAGTGGACAAAGACTGTTCTGAAAGATCTCTAATCCTGTGAAAACTCTGAGGTACAACTTCCCCTGCCTTTGTCTCTATTATTGCCTTCACATTATATATATATATGAGGGACAGATGTCAGAGCCTGAGGTAGGCCCAGGACTCCTCCGGATATTGCTGATCCCTGGACAGCCCAGGAGACAATTTACTTTGGATCCCATAAAGAACCCACTTACTGGGCTATGAGGAGATACATAAAAATATATAGTCAATTCCATCTGGAAGTGGTCCATCTTATCTTCTGTCCTTCTCTCCATGCCATTACACCCAGCGATTGTGCCTCCAAGGCCTGCTCCATCATGTTAACAGCAAGGACGTGTTGACATCCCTAGTTTCATATGTCAACTATTCTTCAAGGTGAAGAATACATCTGGGTTAACACTTGTCTCCCAAAACAAGACAACTGCATCTCAGATTATAAATTGTCCTCATACCTTCCTACTTTTTATCTGCTCTTTGTCCGTCTCTGGCACTGTCTCAGGAAAACATTAACCACCTTTCTGGGCCTATGTCTTTACTTATAACACACAGTCTAACTGGTCATGCTGAGAATATGCCAGCCTTTCTGTTTTGTGGCGAGTGTACTCGTGCACTACTACCTGCCCCGTAAGGCATGAGTTCTGTTTTGCACTTTTCAGATAGGGTGAACAGACCCAGCGACTCTTTCCCCAAGGTCACCAGGAGGGGAAGGGCCACAACCGGGGTGAGCAAAGGTCTCCCCAACACTGAATTGCCTGAGAACCGGATGCGGGCAGCCGGACGCCTCAGGTGAGCCAGGCTCTGGCTCCAGTCGCTGGCGGCCCCGCCCCACACCACCTCGCCCAGGACTCCCCCAACTCTCGCCTGGGAGGGCGCGCACACCTCCCAACTAGACTTCCGGGATCCCGTAGAGGCCGGAAGCGGGGCTCTCTCACTTCCGACTCGGCCATTATTTTCACTTGTTTGGGCCGGCGCAAGTGTACCGTGTCCGCGCTTAGTGGTCGCGTATGTGGACCGGTGCGGAGAGGGAGGGTCGGCCGCCGGGGTCGCCGGACCCGCGCTGCGGTGGCCAGAGCCTGGGGCGGCGCGATCCCTGCGGCGCTTCGGGGGCGCCTCTTTGTCGCGGTCATCTGACCAGCCGCGTCTGGCTTGGAGCCGGCGGAACGATGAGCAGGGCAGACGTGGCCAGGTGAGCGGCGCTGCAGAAGCCTGGTCTAAACACGAGATGTATGTGTGCCCAGCCCTGCCCCGCGAGATGATAAGGAGCGTCAGAAATGGGTCCGACCCAGCCTTGGCATTTCAAACGTGAATTGTGACTTGGAAACGCAAAAGCCCAATTTGAGATGCGCTGCTGAGCATTCGAACAGTCAGGGAAGCAGGAAGATGGCCTGCACTTCCTACCTGTGTGGAATCTCAGTAGACTTCACAGATAAGTCCATCTTTGTCTTTTTGAGGAAATTGAAGTCCAGAGAAAAATAGCTTACCCAGGGATTCGGGAGCATGGTGATTGGGCAGCATAACATCTACACCCTAGATATCACCCGGGTGCTGGTTTTCAAATAGCCATTTTACAGTGTATAAACTGGACAAACGTTTCCCCCAAACTTCAATATCAGCTAAGTGAACCTCATTCTTTGGCTTACCAGATATGCGCTCCTCTGTGCCATGTACACACACGTACAAAGATGCCTGGAAGCCAGCCCTGCCCTTGAGTCCTCCCAGTGAATCTTCCCAGGAAGTGGTTGTGGTGGTTGAGGGAGAGCCGTATCAACTATGATTACAGTGTAAAGAGCGATCTGGCAGAGGTATGAGTGAAAAACACCCTGTGGGTTCACTGAGGCAAGAACCAGTCTGAAGCTAGAGAGGAAAGCTTTGTAGGGAAGACTAGAAAAGGACTGGAATTTTCTGGTTCCTTTATTTTGGTGGCCATTCAGCAGTTTTGGAGGACATGAGTGGTGAATTGCGCATAGAACAGTTAAAATACAGTGTCATAATGAGAGGTACAGCAAGGAAAGCTACCAGCTCTCTTCCTAAGGGGGCAATCAGGAAAGCCTTAATGAGAAAATGGTATTTGTTTTGGGTCTGGAAGCATTAGTAACAGTTTGTTAGAAATTGAGAAAAGGAAAACAGGGAAAGTGTATGTGGCTTCAACTTGTTTCTCCACAGTGTTAGCCCCAAATTTTAGTGTGCACCTTTATCAATAAGTTTTAACATGCACTCCCAGCACGCTTATTCATAATTTAAAGATATGTACTACTATACAAGTTTCAATACATATTATAAAGCATAAATAAATAGAGGAGTTGAATTACATCTTAGCTCCCCCCGCCCCATCCTTTGGGAAATCTTGCATATCCCACATTGGAGACCATTGCTGTTTTTCTAGTCTGCGTACATGGGGAAAAGGCAGGGGGTTGGCTGGGCTGCCAAGAGTTGTGAATGCCTGGCATAGACACTGAGGTTTTATCCTGTAGATGATGGGATTAAAAGTTTCTTAAGGTAAGTAGGTCCCAAGAGATGCACAGAGAGAAGGCTCTCATTGTGCTCTTTTTCCTGGAACTTTGTTTTTTAACAATGTGGAGGATCTATCATCATCCTGGAATTAAATACTCTGAGAACTCTGATTTCTTTCTTGATGTTTCTTTAGGTGACACTCCACCTTATTCCCCAACCCTGAAGAAATATCTTCTGAGATCTGAACTGTAGTCTTTCATTTTAATTGGACTACCTGCAACTGGAACAAGCTTCTCTTTGGAATCATAATGACCACAGAAGGCAGGGGAACTTTAGGCCTCATCCCCAGGAGCTCTGTTTTCCAGAAGCAGGCTGGGTGTCTGACTGTGAAGCAGCAGTCAGGGAACCAGACCAGGGGACCGAGCTGCAGTCTCCTGAAGAACCACCCTCCTGTCTGTGAAATCTTCAGGCTGCACTTTAGGCAGTTATGTTACCATGAGATGTCTGGGCCTCAGGAGGCACTAAGCCGGCTCAGGGAGCTTTGTCGCTGGTGGCTAATGCCAGAAGTTCACACCAAGGAGCAGATCCTGGAGCTACTGGTGCTGGAACAGTTCTTGAGCATCCTTCCTGTGGAGCTCCGAACCTGGGTGCAGCTTCATCACCCTGAGAGTGGTGAGGAGGCTGTGGCTGTGGTAGAGGATTTCCAGAGACACCTCAGTGTACAGGAAGAGGTAAACAGTGGAGTCTAGAATAGCATCTGGAAACCATTCTCTAGTGCTTGAGTTAGCTTGGGGAATAGGCATCCTCTGTTCCTTAGGTTCTAGGCTGATTTGTCTTTAGGATTTCCAAACCTAATCCATGGAGAAAGGATAAATAAGTTTGTGCTGCAGTCCATAAACAAAAATGCAAATCCCAGCTAAGCCCTGAATGACTTTGTAAAATACTATGCTGTGAGCCTGACTATAGCCTGGAGATCACACAGGACTCCTGGCAGGCAGGGGATCTGCACAGTGGTTAGAATATGGGGATAGATGAGAAGGGGCCTTCATTTGAGAAGTTCTCATTAGTTTTGTGAACTTCTCAAAGTCAGTTCTCTCTCTTCCTGCCTCTTAGGTCCTTTATGAGAAATGACGTTTCAGGGCCTCCTGATTAGTTCTTCCTTTTGCTAGCTTTTCCAAGCCCAACAGGGACTTTTTTCTTCAGTACTAGGGATTAAATCCAGAGCCTCATACATATTAGGCAAGCACTCTACTACTGTTACATCACCAGCCCTTTTAAAAATATTTGAAACAGGGTCTCACTAAGTTGTCTAGGCTGGCCTCAAACTTATTATTCTTCTGCCTTAACTTGGATTATAGCTGGAATTATAAGTGTGTACCAGTGTACCTGGCCCAACTGGCATCTTTTTACCTCTTTAATTCTAATTTCAGTTTTCTTTATTTCTGGGGTTCTCTCAAATTTAAGGCCAAGGTAGCTTGAGCCAGAGGAATAGTTGGGAAGAGTCAGAAGTATGGTACATTGGAAAATCTGACTTGTAGGACCACAGAGCTAAATACATCTGTAACCGTGTGTATTAGTTAGGGTTCAGCCAGAACAGCAGAACAAGTAGAAGATGTTTGTGTGTCTGTGAAGAGATTTATTGCTGAAAAGTGGCTAATGTGATTGTAGCTGGCTAGATAAGTCTGAAATTCACAGGGAAACCATCAACAAGGGCAAGCTGGAACTCTCTGGTATAGGCTGAATGAAGCTGCAGTGCACAGGCAGAGATTTTCTTCATGAAACCTTCAGCTCTGCTTTTAAGGCCTTGGAACTGATAAAGTCAAGCCCATTCATCCATCATCTAGGGTAATCTCCCTTATTTAAAGTAAACTGAGTGTGGACTTTAATCAGATCTACAAAGTACTTCGAAGCAACACCTGGATTAGTGTTTGGTGAATGCCATGTTGACACATGACACCATTAATTAGTTCCTCCTATTGAGCTTCTAGCTGCTCCCCTTCATCCCTTCAACATTACCTCTTTATACTTTACCAGGGAAAACTAGTACAAAAAATTTCCCAAATACCCAGCAGGCCATTTTATTCAGTGCTTTTTAAAAAATAATTGCATATCTATAAATATGTCTACCTAATCATCCCAGGTGATTGGAGTCCTGGGACTAGATGTTGTCCAGTCAATGCATATTTGATTGAATTTGTTGTCAGCTGTCATTTCCTTTGTGTAAACAAGTAAGCATACATGAATAAATCAATCATCACAGCTCAGGTTAACAGGTAAGGAGCAAAACACTCATGGCCCAGCCTAAGCCTGGGGTTCCTGGTCAGTGTTATATTTTCTGACGTGAACACATGAGGGAAGGATTGTCTTTCCTAGCAGGCTTTCATAAAATGTTAATAGAATAACTAAAGGAATAAATACACTTTTCTAAGGTAGTTTGCCAGGAAGAGATTAGGGAAGTTTAGGGCAAATCAGAGCCATTCTTCCCATTAGGAGCAAGTCACTTTATTGCTGGAGGAAGAGCATGGACATGAATGTCCCTGGGAGCTGGAGAGAGTTATAGAGTAATTCCTGTGGAGCAGCAGAATCATGCAATTAACAAAATGTTTTTGTGTCTTGTATCTTATTTCAGCTCCTACGAGGCTTACAAAATTGGTGTTGTAGCAGTCATGATCTCCATTTGAAAAGTGAAGTAAGCCCAGGGAGGTTGATTGGCTTATCCAGATTAAGCATCTAGTATGCATTGATTTTAGCCAAAGTATTGTTACTGCTGATTACCACCAAGTGTCAGGACCAAGATTTTCTGCCTCCCTACATTCTGAGCCACTACATCTTTCTCTAGTCTCTTGCTGTAGAATACCAATTTAGAATGGAAATTGAAATGATATTTTCCTGCTTTCAAGGAAAGAAAACCAATACATCCCTGATAAGGAATTGGACGTGTACTAGAATTAAATTGTCAGCAAATCACAAGGTTGTGTTAACACAGTGCAGTTAAGTTCTATCATCTGCCCATACCCATAGCTACTGTACTGAAAAGCTGTGAATCCTATTTGTAAGAACCTTCCAGTGAAGAACTTGGGAACCACACTGTTGAGATTTATTAAAGGACAAGTCCCTTGACATCTCAGCAGATGTTGCCAAGAAGCTAATCTGGCATGGTTTATTAAAGAAGTTATTTTCATTTCATGCTGTCTCATACATGCCAGAGCAAATGCATTTTACTTTTTTAAAAATTCACTTTTCATTACTGGGTATCAAACCAGGGTAGTTAACCACTAAGCTACCTCTCCATTCCTTTTTACTTTTTATTTTGAGACAGGGCTTCACTAAGTTGCAGAGGCTGGCCTTGAATGTGTGATCCTCCTGTATCTACTCCCAAGTCAGTAGGATTATAGGCATACACAACCACACTCAGCATAAATGTATTTTTTTTTTATAGATAATGATTTGTGTTTTCTGCTCCAAGTACTGCTAAAAATAGTAATCATGAGATTGTGGGGAGCTGGTTTGGTGACTAGAGCAGGTTGGAAATAAAATGGCTATGTTCTAAGGTGTCTTCAAGATCTCTAAAGATGGATGTTATCTGACCTTATTTGAATTTTTAATATCAATTTTTGGTGAGAGGTAGAATATATTGAAAACTGAGTTTGCAGGTAACCCTAAAGACCCTTAGCAACATTTCAAGGGGAAGTCAGTCAGCAGATATTAATTGAACACTAGTGTTGGGCCAAGCATTTCTTTAGGAGCTAGTGATCAAGACAAAGTTCTTATACTCACAAAACTTAATATTCCAGTGGGTAAAAATGACAATAGGGATGTAAATAAGATAAAGAGTATTATATATATCTGGAAATTATAACTGGGTAATTTAAGAGAGAATGACTATCCCTGCTTTGTTAATGTGTTCAGGGAAGACTTCTCTGAAGAGGAGACACTTTGAAAGAAGTTGGAAAAGCTTTCTTAAGGTTTTTTGTCCAGTGTTCTGGGGAATTGTTTCATCTGTCAGCTTCAGAAGCTATTTTACATAATCAGGTGCCTGTTATTTCTTACTTCTTCTCTACTCCTTATTGTTCTCTTATGTAGTCTAAGGCCCTAGAGAATGTACTGAATTGCTATTCTTGCTCACATTTCTAGATGGTTCTTTGTAAGCAAATTTGTGTCTGAAGACCTAATACCGAGTGGAAATGGTTATAGAATCTGTTCCTCAAGCTCTTACCAAGAGACTCAACAGAGGGATGGCAAGTAGGAGTGCAAGCTTCAGATTTTGTCAGAAGAACACTGTGGCTTTTGTTTCCCTGGGTTTCTTCCTAGAGGGGGCTTCATAGAGGTTTTGGGTTCTGTACCTTCAAGGATGCTCTTTTTGAACCCAAATTATATTTCCTTATCTCTAGGTTTCAGCCTCAGCACAGAAACAGGAAGTACATATGGAGGAGACAACAGTTCTGGGTACAACAGAGGAATCTCCTACCTCACCTCTCAGTGGGGGTTCAGCCCCTGGAGCCCACCTGGAACCTCCTCATGACTCAGGGGCACACCACCTCCCCAATGGGCATTTCGGTACTCATATCCCCAACTCATACCTCAAGCTACACTTCTCATCTGTTCTCTGGGGTCTCCTTTCCTTCATCTTTATGTCTCACACCTACTGGAATCCTGCATTGCCCTGCCATCTGGCCTCCTTCCTTTAATGACCTCATCTGTTCTTTTACTTATTCTCCAATCATGTGTGCATTTAGCAAGTTTTTTCAAGCACATAGGAAACACACTGCTGGGGACCAAAGAGATACAGTACTGTATCTTTAAAGAATTATTATGTATACTGTCATATGTAACTAATTAAAACAAATTTAAAAAAAAAAAGTTATTATGTAGCCCGGGCGTGGTGGTGCACGCCTGTAATCCCAGCGGCTTGGGAGGCTGAGACAGAGGATCGGGAGTTCAAAGCCAGCCTCAGCAGAAAACAAGGTGCTAAGCAACTCATTGAGACCCTGTCTCTAAATAAAATACAAAATAGGGCTGGGGATATGGCTCAGTGACCTAGTGCCTATGAATTCAATCCCCACTACCCCTCCCCTCAAAAAAGTTATTATGTATGTAGCAAGGAGTTAATTGAACATGTAAAAAAAGTCAACCTTATAAGATATATATGAGTGATATATATGAGTGATATCTCTGGCATTTGATCCTCTCACAAATGAACAATGAAGGCAAGAGGAAAGTGGTAGACTGTTAGTAGAGGATTTAGGCAAAGATCCTTCAGCAGTCATTGAGGTGGAGTCAAGGAGAGCTGTATTTGGGATTCAAAGCCCTGCTTGTATTGGAATTTTGACATCGAGGCTAGTAAAATTGAGGGGTGGTTGAAGAAATAGTTCTCAGGAGGATTACACAGCTGTAGGGGAATATCGTGTATTGAATTATATGGAGCCTCAATAGAGGACTAGTGCAGTAAAATATGCAAATAACTACCTGAACATGGTGGGTAACATGGAAAAGGATAGGTCTGAGAAATACAGGAATGGACAAATTCATAGATGGGGGAATAGTAGGCTTTTTCTCAATGAAGGACTTATGGACAAAATGTGGGAAATCAGGAAAGGAAGGTGGTAAGAAACTGCATTTTAGAAAATCAATTTAAGGTATCTTCAGAGATCAAAGTGAAATGCCCAATACATAGCTGTGATAAGGGTCTGAAAGGAGAAGTGAGAAGTATGAGAGCCAATGAGCTCGTGGACAAACAAAGAACACTGGGCTGGGCTTCCAAGCGTGTCCATAATGACATGGCAGGGACAGGAAGAGACAGCTGGACATGAGGAACCAGAGACCTGAGGGGAAATCAAGTTTGGCCAGTGATAGGGAAGCCATTGCAGAGAGAACATGGTCAGACACGGCTTCCTTCAGAGAGACTGAGGAGAGTGCAGTTTAGGAGCAAACCCAGTTCTTAGTTTGACTAGGGAATTGTCACTGTGCCCTCCAGGGAACAGCCACAGCACACTTGGGATAAAGCCTTTAGGAGGAGAGCCAAGAGTCAGTGTGCATGGAGCTGCTTGGGTTCTCTTGAATCCTCTCCTTGGGAATATAGTTCTTTGGGAGCTGAGGGCTGGAGTCAGCCCACTCAGTGCTTTCTTTCCTCCCTCAGCTCAACTTGCATCTATAGTTCCGGCTCATTCCCAGATGGGGAACTCAGGAGACCAAGTAATGGCCACTGTGCTTCAGATGGTCAAGGCCCAGGTGAGTGTGGCTCTTTCTCTTTTTCCTAAGTTCCTGTGCCTTTGGCCCAAGAATGTCTAGAGCTTATCTGTGAGACTGCCACATAAGAGCCAGCTACTATAACTCTTGCCTAACTTGTTACATTGGAGGTGGGTTCCTACTTGTGGTTAAGGAATTTTTGTCTTGCCCTGGACTTGGCCTTTCCAATGAGTCATCCAAACTCCTTTCCCCCTGCCCCTTTGCCCACCAAGAACCAGTACCCTATGAAATCTACACCCTGATGACTCTGCCCTTCAGCCTGGGACCGTACCTGAGCAGTAGAAGCTTGTTATTCCAGGAGACTGCCACAAATGAGGACCTGTCAGTGGACTGTACACAGAAGAAGTGGAAAGGCCCTGCTGTCAGGCAGAGAGCCCTGTACCGGAATACAGTACTGGAAAACTACAGCATCATGAACTCACTGGGTAATGATTTTCTTTCCTATTAACTTAAGAATCTGCATTTTATACATTTTCTTGACTATGTTATTTTTCTTTTATTTTGACTTTTATTACAAACATTTACATTTCCAAACAAAGTATAGTGAACCTTGCTGCACTTACCACCTAGCTTTAACAATGATCAATATTTCCGTTATATCATATTTGATGTCTATATGGTGGCTAGTTTGGATTTTCTAAGTTGTAAGGAATAGAGAGTCACTCAGTCAATGGTCGGTAAAGAGCTATGTGTTTTAAGGCTTATAGTAATGGGAACCTAGAACAAACTGATCAGCTAGACTAGAACGTAGGAAACAGCCTCAAGAAGAATGAGCTACATCCCAGGTCAGCCCAGAAGCCTCAGCATCACAGGCAAATAAATTTTACATGAGTGGTCCAATATGAATGTAACATAGCTACTCCTTGTGTCTGGTTCCTCTCTTCTTACCCATTTATTTACTCTAAAACTTTTATCCCCATCATAGTTCCTCAATTCTGTTTTTGATTTCCTCATACATTCTTATTGTGGATTCTAATGGTTTGACTTGGCCCATGCATCATTTCAGCCTTAGGTCTTACTTCTAATTGCTATAATTTTGCTCAGTTTGCAGGACAAAATTTACTTAGAGAGGGTTCTAATTGCTACAGGCACTAAATATCATCTATACTTTGGTAGTGTCTGGCCCAGCCACAGCAAAATCTAATGACTAACCTACAGACAGATTGTACTTGGGCCTAGTGCCTGGCCTTGGTCCAATCATCTGGGGTGGAATGCCCAGGGTCACTTGCTGCCAAGTATGGTTGCATGAATTTCTCTCTCTGCAAAAATCAGGGAAGGTTAGATCCTGTGATTTACAGACTTAAGACACTAGCCAACTTGTCCGAGGGTGAACATGAGAATCATCTTGTGATTTTCTATGTACTAAATGGTGTTATAGCCTAACTGTAGCTAAAAGAGGATTGAAGGGAACCCACCTAGTTTTTAGTGATAACCTATACTACTGTGCCTTTCCCAAGATTTCAAGGCAAATGCTTAAGTCTTCAGTTTCCTTATTCTAAAAAATCAAGATCTTTAAGACATTTAATTCATATTTGAAATTATTGATAATTTTTGGTTTTATGGGAGTACAGAACTTTCTCCTAGCATTCACTGCTTGGGGACCCAGCCTATCCACTTTTGAGTTCTGCCATCTCCTTCAACACTGTTCCACAATATTTCTGAACCCATACCCACATCTTGTCACTGTCCTGTCATACAGAATCTCTCCTTTTTATAAACTTTCCTAGTCATATTCTCACAACATAATGTCTCACCAACTCACTCCTATCTTTGCCCTCTCTCTTGTATTTAACTTGAAGTGTTTGCTAGCTTTCTCTCTCCCAACATCTTTTCTGGTAGCCATGGCTGGAAAGGAATGTAGAGTTTGTCATTTTACCCAGAAGACAGCATCATAGTAACTTCTGGAAGAGTGTACTATGCTTTGCCACCTCAGCCCTTGCTTTTTGATTGTCTATCTGTTCTGGCTCAACATCTTGTCTGTCCTGGTATCTCTTTTTCTACCCTCTTCCACTTTTGTTTTTCTATCCTGAATTTTTAAAAAATTAACAAATTGAGATATTTCCTATTTCCTCTTCCCTTCTCAAGTTGTTCTTTTATTCCTTAACCATAAGGTGACTTTTTTTTTTTTTTTTTTTTGACACTAAGCTCTTGGTTCTGTTTCCAGAACAGGGCATGAAGTGAGTAAAGGTTATTTTCTTCTTTCTTTTGGCAGCAGGTGAGAACAGGATGGAGAGTTCTGAATTCACTCCAAAGCAGACCATTTCTAAAGGATCAGAGTCATCTGATAGGTCACCAGGGGGACTCTTTGGGGTGACTTCTATGGGACCAGAAGTTGAAGATGTCTGTGAAGATACTTTGAGGAAGCTGGAAGGGCAGCCCTCAGATGAAGAGGGGAACAGTTTGGAAATCAATTTTTTGGAGATAACAGATGAGGATAAGAACTCCACAAAAGACAGATGTGAGGATTATAAGGAAGTAGGGGAACATCCAAATCTGTCCCCCAGTCCTGAGGAATATCAAGGAGTCCCAAAGGGACAGAAATTCTTTCAGTGTGATGAATGTGGCAAAGTGTTCTATTGGAGTTCACACCTCATTGGTCACCAGAGAATCCACACTGGAGAGAAACCCTATGAGTGTAATGAGTGTGGTAAGACCTTCAGGCAGACCTCCCAGCTAATCGTTCACCTCAGAACTCACACTGGGGAAAAACCCTATGAATGCAGTGAGTGTGGGAAGACGTATCGGCACAGCTCCCATCTCATTCAACACCAGAGACTTCATAATGGGGAGAAACCCTATAAATGTAATGATTGTGCAAAATCTTTCACTCAGAGTTCTCAACTCATTGATCACCAAAGAACCCATACTGGGGAGAAACCTTACGAATGCAATGAGTGTGGAGAAGCATTCATTCGGAGCAAAAGTCTTGTCCGACATCAGGTTCTTCACACTGGTAAGAAACCTTACAGGTGTACTGAGTGTGGGAAAGCCTTCTGTTCTAACAGAAATCTTATTGACCATCAGAGGATCCACACTGGAGAGAAGCCTTATGAATGTAATGAATGTGGCAAGGCCTTTAGTCGGAGTAAATGTCTTATTCGACATCAGAGCCTCCACACTGGGGAGAAACCATACAAATGCAGTGAATGTGGGAAAGCCTTCAGTCAGAATTCTCAACTCATTGACCATGAACGAATTCATACTGGAGAAAAGCCCTTTGAATGTAGTGAGTGTGGTAAGGCTTTCAGTCTAAGTAAGTGCCTTATTCGGCACCAGAGGCTTCATACAGGTGAAAAACCCTATAAATGCAATGAGTGTGGAAAATCCTTCAATCAAAACTCTCACCTCATTATACACCAGAGAATCCACACTGGTGAGAAGCCCTATGAATGTCATGAGTGTGGGAAGGTGTTCAGTTACAGCTCTAGCCTTATGGTACATCAGAGAACCCATACTGGGGAAAAGCCCTACAAATGCAATGATTGTGGGAAAGCCTTTAGTGACAGTTCACAGCTTATTGTGCACCAGAGAGTTCACACTGGAGAGAAACCTTATGAATGTATTGAGTGTGGGAAAGCTTTTAGTCAGCGATCCACTTTTAATCACCACCAGCGGACTCACACTGGTGAGAAACCCTCGGGTATGTCTCACTCAGCATCATAAGGCATGGTTTTCTTGAAAAAGAGAATAAGGAACTTCAGTGAAGTTTTTTTTTTTTTCCTTGGTAATACTGGGGATTGATAATGGTAATTGGCCTTTCACATGCTAGTCAAGCATTCTGCTACTGTGCTGTGTCCTAGCCCTTTTTCAAAATTTTTATTTTTGAGACAGAGTCTCACTAAGTTTCTCCCGCTGGCTTTGAACTTTCAATCCTCCTTCCTCAGCCTTTAGATTAGCTGGAATTATAGGTATGCACCACTGTGCCCAACTTGAAGCTTTCTTTATAAGAATCATGTTCATCCTGGTCTCCCTTGGAACCTTTCATCTAAGTGGACCATTGTCAATTTTCATTGAGTCACCAAATTGGGAATAACTTACTGCAGTCCTTCTCCATTATTGGGAAAGTAAGGACTATGCATTTCATTTACTTGTTGGTTTCCCTATTCCTTTATTTTTTGAGACTGTTTTAATGTCTGTCTCATTTTTTATTTATCCATCCCACAATCAGACTGTGTGCTTCTCAAGGACAAAGGTAATTTCTGTGTATTTTAGGTCCCCCGTTTCACCATTTCCCAAAGGCATTCTTCAAGCTATGATTCCTTCTCTTTCTCTTGGCTTGTCTCCATGTAGTGTTTAAGCTTTCTGCCATCTGTAGCTTATCATCTGTGTTCTCTTCCTAGAAAACTTTTTTCTTCCTGTTTGATAATCTAAAATTCTTTCATAACCTTCAAAAATCTATCTTGTGTCTTAAGGATTTTCTTCCCCTGCTTCTTTATTCCTCTTAAACATCTATTGATTTGACCTCAGTGCTTTAAATGACTGGTGCTATCAGGTGTAACTGTGTTAAATTGCTTTGTAAATGTTTTCAATGCACAGTGTTTACTTTCATACCCCCTTACTTTTGGCTCATTGAGGTCAAGTATATATCTTTATCTTTCAGCATATAGATAATTGTTTGTATATACTAGCTGTTAAATAAATAAGTTTTAAACCTCAACTCTGAATTGAGTTATGCAGTTTCTTCTCTCCTTCAAGCTTCTAAAGGTGAAAGGGCATGCTATCATGGACTATCATATACAAAGGTCTCACTGATATCTCTGTATATGTTCCTAGAAATCTTATTATTACTGGTATTTATGCCTCAAAATTGTGTGTGTGTGTGTGTGTGTGTGTGTGTGTGTGTGTGTGTGTGTATGTATATGACAGAGTGTCTAGGTGTTGTCTAGGGCAGTCATGTCCCACTGAGATATATATTGCCCTGCATACTGACTGCAGTTCCAAACTTGTTGACTGCATCCTACTTCCTCAATAAAGAGGTTAAGAACAATACAGAGAATTGAGAATTCAGTGAGATGCACTTCTAGATGATTGGAATTCACAGTGATGAGTTTTGTGGTAAGATTATATAGTAGAGTCAAATGGATAAATTTTTTTCCTTATCAACCAGACCTGTTTAAATTCAGTTGCCATCCTAATTTCAAGATGAAAGCTATACATTCAGACAATTTTAGGTCCATCTTTCATTCCTCAAAGACATAAGAAACAGAAAGTCTCAGAACTTTTTTCTGTAGTCATTCACCAATCATGAACTTTTTTGTCTTTTTCTTTCCACTGTTACCATGGGGCCCTAGTGCCAGAAGACTTCACCTCCAGTGTCTGTCTCTTTCAATTTCCATCCTCAAATTTCTTCTTAACAGAAAGAGAGTACTGGCAATATAGCAGAAATGGCTGAAGAGGCTAGAGGTACAGTGTCAGACATACAGCCTGAAGGGGAGATTTTGTGAACTGTGGTTTATGTCTAATACTGGAAAAGAAAGGGAAGAGTTGATGTTTAAGAAAATAATCAGATGTGATTCTAGGGGAGACATCTCAGACAAACTTAAAAAAGATTCTTGGAAGTATAAATTTTTGTAGGGGGGGAACTTAAAAAGATTACTGAATTCAGGATACAACTTGAAATATATAATTTGTAAATTATATTTGTTTTTTTTAATGTTATTTTTTAGTTTTCAGTGGACACAACATCTTTATTTTTTTTTATGTGGTGCTGAGGATCGAACCCAGCGCCCTGCGCATACCAGGCAAGCAAGTTACCGCTTGAGCCACATCCCCAGCCCGTTGTGAATTATATTTGTTTTCAACTTTTTTTTTTTTTTTTGCAAGCAGGAATTTTATTAAAAAGCAAAGTGAACGAAACAATCACAGCTCCCAGTGCAGTGCCGGGGAGGGGCAAGAGTGTCTCAACTATATTTTTGGTATTTGTTTCCATTTTCCTTTGAAAGTTATGAAAGAGTTCTGCACATAGGAATGTGTGTGTCAAGAGAGTTACTTTGGGAGCTTCCAGATCCAAAGAAGAGCTGACCCTGTACCACTACATAGCCACGTGGGCTGCACATGGGCAACCTTCCACCTCGAGTTGGCCTTATTGGTTCTGTCATCCGTAGAACTGCCCTGCTTATTGAATACTGCAATTTTATCATCTGGTTCTTATCTATTCATCCTCTATCACACTAAGTCTCTTGGGGGTGAGGAACAGTTCTAGTCATAATGTTATTTGCCCACTACTACCATCCTGGTGTCAGTGTTAAATAGAAATGAATGTCCTAACTTCCTGGGAAAGCCTCAGGCTTTGGGGAGGGGAGGGGATGAAAAGTGGCTACATTTGAAAGTCATTCCTCTCCCTATTAATTATTGCTAATTAAATAAAATTACTGTTATAAATTGGATCCAGTTATTTGACTATATTATCTTTTCTCATAGTTTTATTTCTTAGTTTTGTAGGTATACAATTTGTTAAATATTCATTTATCTCGTTTTCCAATCCATTGCTTATGCATCAGTAAGAACTTCAAAATGTTGAATAGTGCATAACAGGTATTCCATGTCTTCCTGTTAGAGGTAATGTTTTTAGCATTTTGCAGTATCAAAGGGTTCATTTTGGGTTGATTTTTTTCTTTTCATTGAATTTAGAAAGTTTCCTTCTGTTTCTATCTTTAGAAGAAGCAGTGTAGTGGTTAAGAGCATAGGTTGGTTCCTGGCATCATGCATTCAAATCCTGGCTTCATTGCTTTTTTAGGTGTGTGATCCTGGACAGATCACTTTGATTCCATGTTTCTCAGTTCCTCCATCTATAAAATGGAGCTACTTCATAGGATTGTAAAGTTTAAATTAGTTAATACGTGTAAGATACTTAAAACAGTGCTTGGCACACAGTATACAATATAGCAATTATTATACTTTGAATTTTTTCTAGTGGTGCTCTATCTAAATTTTGCTAATATATAGCAAAGAATCATCATGTTTACTGTCATGTGAAACATAGGCGTAAATTTCCATATATGTGGTTAAAATTCCTTTTTGTTTCCTTTCAGTTTCTTCTCTGTTGGGATTTCCAAGTGCCACTCCTTTCTTATTTTAAATTGTATTTTTTCTTGAATGTATTTTTTTAATATGTTCTCTTTTTGCCTCAAGTTGAAGAACATTTTTATTGGCCTTGCATTACATTTGTTGTTTCCTCATTAGTGAATGATGAGAGCTTTCCCATCCTGAGATTGACCATAAAACAGGGAAAATAGATTTTCTTTGAATCCCTTCATAGTCTAATTAGATGTTTAGATCTGAAGCTAGAAGATTTAGTGGTTAATTTACATAATTATATGCTTCAGCAATGAAATGGCTTCCCATTTGGTGAGTTGGCTAAAAACCATCTAGGACCAGCTTTTATATCTAGCATGCTTTTGGCTCAGCCTCTACACTGGCTATCCAATGGAGCCTGTTTCCAAGTTCTCTGCCTCAGTGGGAATAAATAGCTTTATTGTGAAAGAGCTCAATATGCAAAAGCCTTCAGTTAGACTTTATTTTGCTTTTGTGGCTGTACATTGGGAAAATAACCTATTCTTAGTGTATTTGTTGGGGGGCATTTGATTATAGCAGATATCATCCACCAAAGACTACAGCTACGAGAAAGTCTTCTCATTTGTGGCTAGCAAAGCCTTTGGTTGTAGCTCATTTCTTACTTGACATGGGAATATCTATGGGCCTTTTTGATTTTAAGAAACCACTCATCATGGGGGCTGGGGTTGTGGCTCAGCGGTAGAGCGCTCACCTAGCATGTGCGAGACCGTGGGTTCAAACCTCTGCACTACATAAAAATAAAATAAAGGTATTGTGTCCATCTACAACTAAAATAAATATTTTTTTTGAAAATGAAATTCCATCTTCCAATACTAAACATTCCCATTTTAAAAATGAGGAATAGGGGTATGAAAAGAAGGGATTTTTTTCCAACACAAATGTAATCCAGCAAAGCAAACACTAAATTCTGTAGATCCATATTTAGATCCATGCCACAGGATGGCATTAGGTGGCTCCAAAGGACTATAGCAGCCCACCCCTATGGCCATGTTGGCTATCCCACATGACTTCTCTCTTGGGCTAGCTCCACTTTCTGCCTGTAACTTTCCTCTGCAGGCATTCCATATTCCTGGCATCCCTAACTTCTTGGAGTCTTCATTGCATTTTTGTCAGCACTTTCAAAGCTTTACACATTGCTCTCTCAAGGGCTGCAGGGATTTCTGACCCTGAAACACATTGCTTGGCCTCTCAGACCCTCCTTTGAAATCTTGGTGGAAGACTTCATGACTCTCAAATCTCAATAATTTGCATTCCTACAAAACCAGCACCAGAACAAAATAGACATTATTATTGCTGTGGGTATATACGTGACTGCATGACCAATGTAATTCTGCAGACTGTATACTCAGAAAAATGAGAAATTATATCCCATCTGATTCAAATGATGATATGTCAAGATCATTGTACTGTCATGTGTAACTAATTAAAAATTTTTAAAAAGAAATTAAAAAAAAAAAAACAAAAACCCAGCACCATATGAACAATGCCAAGGTATCCCACCAACTCAGGAAGTAGCCCTGCCTCATCAGATGATGGCTGCAGCAGCCTCTGAATACCTACTGGACTTAGCATTGTGAAACAAATTCTGCGGAAGCAGCTTCCTAGTCTGTCCTGTGTGAGCAGGGCTTCCTAGTGCTCTCTTCTCAAAGGGATGTCTTTAAAGTGAACTTTCACTTTTTCTTCTTTAAGATTGTGATGGGTGGAGTCTTACTGATTCCTGAGATGCCCTCAAGGCATTTCTTCTATGGTCTCTTTGCAGAGTACTTGGTTTCTCTTTAATGGTGCTAATCTTCTCAGGGCCACATCTTTATTGGCTTGTTTCACATTTGCTTTTTTTTTTTTTTTTTTTTTGGTCCAAACTCTTAAATTTTTCAATTTTTTTCTGCTCTGCTTTTTGCTTGTGGTTATCATAGAAATCCTGACTAAAAGCTTCCAGCAATAATCATGCCACTGCCCAAATGCTGTGGTGCCTTGAAATTTTCTCCACTAGATTAATTATTCTGTCACCTTTCAATTCAGTCTCACACAAAGTCTCAGGGCATGGATAAAATGTAAAAAAGTTCTTTGCCAGAAAGTGGCATATATGGCCTCTATAGCAATTCCCAATAGAATGCTCATTCCCATCTGAAACCTTATAAGCATGGTCTTTACTGTCTTTATTCCTTTTGGCACTATGGTCTTCTGAAATTACATCAGAATTGTCCAGTAAGCTCTGTTTACAACATATTAAGTCTTCCCTATCCTGCACCTCAAATCTTTTCCAAACTCCTCCCACACAATAGTTCCATATGCTTCTGAACCACATTGTCAGGTATAATCGAAACAACCCCATTTCCTGGTACTAATTTCCTGTGTTAGTCAGCTCTTTGCCACTGTGGCAAAAATATTTGACACAGCTTCAAGGAAGAAAGGTTTATTTTGACTTACAGTTACAGAGGCAGAATATTTGGTTTCCCAAATGGTACTATTGAAAAACCAGCCTCTACCTCCGAGCAAAGCCTGTCCAAGGAAGGGACATGACCTTTGTCCTTGGAAAGACCCACAGAGCACTCTTAGGCACATTCCCACCCTGCTAAGTTGTTTATCTACG